CTATTTTGTTGCTCTGATAGGACGCTGCTTATACCTATATATCATATCCAGATTACTGTTAGATAGAGTAATCAAGAAGTCCTACACTTCCTTGAAGTCCTACATTGTCCTTTCATTTTCACCTTGTTGGTCAAATGAAATTGATAGAGATTGCATTAAACCTAAAGATCAATTTGAGAAGATTTGAAATCTTAGTAATATCAACCCTTCAAATGTATCAGTACATTATATCTTCTCATTTATGTAGATCTTTCATTTCTCTCAGAAATGTTTCATGGTTTTCAATGTATAAATAGTTTACACTGACCATATCTTGTTAGATTTTATACTTACTCATGCTGTTATAGATGCTGTTGTTTTCATTATTTGAATATCCAGCTGTTTGTTGTTAGTCACTAGACATACATTAATTTATGATTACTGACTTTGTATCCTCTGACCTTACTAAACTTACTTACTAGTTCTAGGAGCATTTTTGTCTCTTCTTGGAATTTTCTATACGGGGGATTATGTGGTCTCTTAATACAGCTCTATTTTTTCTTTCTAATCCGTAAGAGTTTCATTTTTTCAATTTCCCTGATTATACTGGCTAGCAACTCCAATATATAAAACGATGAGAGCTAGTATCAGTTTTTTTCTCAAGAAAGGGGAAACATTAACTTTTCTCCACTAAGCATTTCCTGTGGCTTTTCCATAAATATCCTTTATTAGATTCAGGAAGTTTCATTCTATTCCTAGATGAGAGATTTTTCCCATATTTTGTTGAGTATATTTGACATAAAATCATACATATTTAAGGCATATAACATCATGCTTTTAAGTACATGTACATCGTGAAATAATTACTACAATCAAGCTAATTTATATAGCCATCATTTCAATTTTTTTTTTTTGAGACAGGGTCTAGCTATGTACTTCAGGTTGGCCTCCAAGTGGCGGCAGTCCTCCTGCCTCATCCTCCTTCTGAGTGCTGGACATACAGGCATGTGCCTCCAAATCCTGCTTTAACTTATAGCAGTTGTTAATTTTGTCCCTTTAGAAACATTTTAGAATAGCACAAGCCAAAACCAAAACAAAACAAAACTCTTAAACAAAAAGAAAAATGTGCTCATCATTTCATTCCCAGAGACAGATTAAAACCTTTAGGTGGACACTATTCTTGATCATTGGTTGGTGTCTATATACACTGAAGTATTTTTGAAAATAAAAAAATTGGTAATGCCATATATGGTATTTTTTAACCTGTTGTTCCACTTTATGTACTGTAGTGGGTACCTTTTTTTATCTCAGTAAATTCTTGTCAACATCATGATCTCTCAATGGTATAATTAATGTCTTTCTTTCCTCCATCTGTGATTGTTTCCTTTGCTGTGCAGAAGTTTTTTAATTTAATGCAATCCCATTTGTTGGTTTTTGATATTATTTCCTGTGCTGTTGGATTTCTGTTTAGGAAATACTTGTCTGTGCCTATGAATTCAAGTGTTTCTCCTATGTTATCTTGCAGCAGTTTCTAAGTTTCTGTTTTTACATCTAGGTCCTTAATCCATTTTGATTTCCTTGTAGTACAGGGTAAGAGACAGGGCTCGCTAGTTTCAGACTTCTACACAATACATAACCAGTTTTCCCAGCACCATTTGTTAGCAAGGCTATCTTCTCTTCAGAGGGTGTTTCTGGCTCTTTTGTCAGAAATTAGATGGCTGAAGGTGCACGGGGTCATTTCTGTATCTTCTGTTCTACTCCATTGGTCTACATGTCTCTTTCATGTGCCAGTAACATCCTGTGTAGATAGCTTGGTAATATGCCACTCAACAATATTAATTCTGTGGATTTACGCATGTGAGGCATTTCCACCTTCTAGTTTCTTCTTCAACTTTCTTCATTGTTCTAAAATTTTCATTGTAGAGGTCTTTGAACTCCTTGGTTAGGTTGATTCCTAGGTATTTTTTTTTAAGCTATTACAAGTGGAATTGTTTTCCTGATTTCTTTCTCAGCCAATTCATTATTGATTTATAAAAACTATTAAGTTTTAATGTTGATTTTTATCCTGAGAGGTTTTTATTTTGTTCTTTAAATAATGAATGATTTTGGCATTTTCAAATTCTTATTTTACATAAACTGAGATTATAATTTTTTCATTTTAATCTATTGATAATGGTGTATTTCTTTTTGAAAGACCTCAAATCAATTATCCAAGATTCAAACTTATAAAAATAGGAAGGGAGGGAGGGAAGAAAGGGAGGAAGAAACAAAGTATAGTTAATTCTGTATTTTTCTTTTAAGCTCTGCATTAGCTAAATGCCATGACACTACATTGTATTTCAATATTTGTTAGAGTCAAAGTATTTTGTAATACCCCCTGTGTCTTTTCTCGTGATTCATGAATTATTTAGAAGTATATTCCTTTATTTCTAAATATTTGGAAAAGATACATCCAGATGCATTTCTGTTATTTATTACTTATTTAATTTCATTTTTTGTTAATTTATATACTTTGACTTTTCAGCCATTTTTAATCTGTTTAGATTTGTTTTATGGCCCAAGACATTACCTGTCTTAATGAGACTATTAAATGTACATTTGAAAAGAATGTTCATCCACTTGTTGAATGTTCTATAAATTTTAATTAGCTCACATTGGTCATGTTTTTCAGATCTTTTTTATACTTATAGATGGGAAAGGCAGAGGAGTCTACTTTCCTATTAGTTACTGAGAGAGGTATCTTAACGTGTACAGCTATAATTATGGGTTTGCTATTTTACCTGTTTCTAAGTTGCTTTTGTATTTTAATGCTCAGTTAGTAGGGGCAAATACATTTAGGATACTTATGACTCAGTAGACTATTTTGAGAATTTCCTCTTAGCTTCTGATCATATTCTTTGTTCTTCTGAAATCCACCTTGTCTGACATTAGTGGTCACTCCAGGTTTTTTGTTGTAGTTCTTATTTGCATGTACTTTTTCCATTGTCTGTCTGTCTGTCTGTCTGTCTGTCTCTCTGTTCCCAAGACAGAATCTACTGGGGTATTGCTTTTACCTAATTCAGTCTAACAGCCTTTGCCTTTTAATTAGAGTTTTAGGCCATTTGCAATTAATGTAGTTATTGAGGAGCTTGGATTTAATATCAATCATGTTGCTATTTTTTGTGTTTATTACATTGTTGGTATTTCTTATCTTTTCTTTCTTTTAAAAGAAAAAATGGAAACAAAGTCTTTGTAAATAGGGAAGGGTGGAGGGGGTGAAGGGAGCACAGGGAATGAGGAAAGAATAAGAACCAAGATACATCATGTAAAGGTACAAGCACCCAATGATAAATGTAAACGTATTGTATACCTAAAATGTACCAATAAAAGAATTTAAGCAAAAAAAAGAACTAATTTTTGCTTATATTTTATCTCCATTATTACATATTCATTATGCATTAGATTGCGCTAGAATTTGTAATGTATATCTTTAGCTAGTCAAAACTTCCCAGTCTATATGCTGTTATCAAATATGTTATTGTCATATATTTTATTTACTTGTACATATTATAAACCTCACAGTACAGAGATATTTTTGCTTTATAGCCTATTTCTTATAGAGGTTTAAACATTTTTAAAAACATGTCTTTAATATTTACCTTCTTTTTACCAGCACTCATTTCTTCATGTAGATTCGGATTTCCATTGTGTCATATTTGTTCTACTTTTAAGAACTTCATTATTTGTTATAACATATATTGGATGACAGTGAGTTGTCTCAACTCTTTTCTACCTGGAAAAATACTGGTTTTATTTATTTTTGAAATATATTTTCACTGGCTAAGGAATGTTGGATTGACTTTTTCTTTCAGAACATTGAAGATGTTGTTCCATAGTACTTTTGCTTGCAATAGTTTCTGGCAGAAGTTACTAACCTTATCTTTGTTTTTCTGTACTTTATGGTTTTGTTCTACCTTCCTTTGGTGGCAGTGCACTGTTCCCTAAGGCTGTAAGTAGGAGAATAGTCTGTCCCTGCTCTATCCCTGACTTTGGTGGCTTGCGTCTTGGTAAAAGCTTAGGAGCAGACAGCTGTACTTTTATTCCTCTTCTGAGGCATCAGATCTCAGGTCCTAGAGCAGAGCACCAATCTTTTTTAGTGACTTATTTTCAATGTGTTTTCTGGTTATAGAACAGTATATTAACACATGTAAGTAACTTACAGAGTAATATGTGTACACAGGGGCCATATGTTCAACAGTTTTACTGATCAAGAGTATAGTTAGAAGAGTTTGGAGGCCACTGTTTTAGAGAGCATCTCTATTAGAATAGATTTGAACTAGAATTTGCCACTTGCTTTGTGATTTGATGACAGCATAATTCTCATGGTTCATTTTATTTCTATGAATAACTATAAATAAAGAATGTTTTGTAGTTTGTTTTGTTTTATTTTAAAATTAATTTAAAATTATTTATTAAAATAATAGAAAATAATTTATTATTTACTTTTGGTTCTGGGAATCGAACTTGGGGCCTTGCCACCTGCAAGGCAGGCAGTGGAATCACTGAGCTAAATCCCCAGTCTCGAAAATCTTTTACTTTTAAAAATTGCTTCTACATAACGTTTAAAAAATTGGGGCCAGGATTAGCTCAGTGGTTCCACTGCCTGTCTCGCAGGTGCAAGGCCCTGAGTTCAATCCCTGGTACCAAAAAAAAATTATTTATTTTTGGTTTTTTGACATAAGGTCTTGCTGTATAGTTCAGGTTGACCTAGAACTCACAGTATAGATTGGGTTAGCCTCAAACTCAAGGACTCTTGCCTCAGCCTTCTGAGTGCTGGGACTACAGGCTTGTGCCACCATGCCTGACTAAAATTTATTTTTTAACTGATACATAATGGCATAAAATTGTTCATATTAGTAGGATATCATTATTTTACATAACTATTAGAAATGTGTATTTAAAAGATGAGGCAGTCTTTATAGACTCCTCTCTATTTTAGACTTCTTTCTTTTTATAAATGAAAACCCCCTTTTTTGTTCTAGGACTGTGAGAATATGGGAGGTTGAAAATCCGAAGAAACAAAAAAGTGTGTTTAAACCACGGACAATTCAGGGTAAAAAAGTCATACCCACTACATGCACATATAGTAGAGATGGAAACCTCATAGCAGCTGCCTGCCAGAATGGAAGCATACAGATCTGGGATCGAAATTTGACTGTAAGTTATGGACATTTAAATCTGTACAACTGCCTTATACGTAGTGACAAACATCATGTTAAAATATTAAAAGGGTCAGTTTTCTGAGTTCAGATCTAATTTAAACTTTAATGTTAGTTGATCAAACATTGGGTCTTTTGCAGTAAACAGCATTTCAGCAAACATTCCAGCTGTTTTCAAGTGTGTATTAAATTTTGATTTTTAGATAAATTTCTGCTTTTAGTGTAAAAGTTGAAGAATGCAGTGCAGTTTATAACACCTCAATTTATTTAATTTTGAAAGTGAAGGGTTTGACAGTAATATAAAACAAGACTAAGCCAGAGAAGAGAAGTAGAAAAGGTATAAGAAACCACAAAAACTCTAGCATCATCCGTCAGTTGTGCAATTACTTCAGTAGTAATTCCAATGTTTTATTTTAATACTCTGTTATATCACATTTCAACAGCTTTCAGGTTTTCCTTTTCATTTTAGGTTATTATTAGAAAAAAAAATTTTAGAAATGAAGGGGATCATAGAATTCTTAGAAATAGGAATATAACAATTTGACTAATTCTGTGAATTATCAGTAATGTTTAAAAAGGTCTTTCTGTTATGTAGATGCTAAAATAAAAATATTTGATAAGTAAAGTGAGCTTTTATTACCATAATTTGGATTCTTTAGTGAAGTTTTTGGTCAAATTATTAATTCAATAAATATTTATTTACTGTGTACTATATATATGCCAGGGCTGTCTTAAGTGAGAAGAGTACTTATTAGGAATTCCTGCCCTTGTGGGGTTTACATTCTAGTTTTTAAAAAAATATAAAAATTTTATTCTGTTCAGCTTTGTTCCTCACACATTTATGTTTTGCTTGGGACCCCAGAAAACATAGTTGTCTTTTCAGGCAGTTAAATAAAAGTTAGTTGTATTGGGATAAGGTGAAAAGTAATGATGGGGCAAAAAATTCATGCTGATAATGCTGGAAATATTTTTGGCATTTTCTGTTTGTCAGATCATTTTATTTCTGTTTTCATCTCCTCTGTAAACCTCATAAAGCTTCATAACAGCACAGAGGTTTTAAAACTTCTTTGAATTGTAAACTAAGTTTTAACCAAGCAATAAATTTTTTAGTAACTGGCTTTCATCCTCTTGAGTGCTGCTGATTTAAACATAAAAATTCTAAAAACATGCAGTTTTCTTGTGTAGCTATAATAGTCGTGTTTTTGGTATAGTTCATATATTTGTGCCTTTTTTCTTAGGAGCATATGCTTTTACAGAGTAGTTTTTGAAGATTGGCCTTGCCTATCTTGAAATAACAAATATCTCCTGTTTCCAGTAGGTGTTTTTGTTTTTTTTTGAGACAGTCTCACTATGTACTTCAGGCTGGCCTTGAACTCACTAAGGCCCCAAATTGGCCTTGAACTCGTGATGATCCTCCTGCCTCTGTCTCCCGAGTGCTGGGACTGCAGACATAAGTCACCAGGTCTGGCCTATTTCCAGTTTTGTGGAAAACAAAACCATATGAATGCAGTTCTCAAAAAATATCTCCTAAAACATTTTACTAATCACAGTCTTTGATTCTATTCTATTAGAATTTAATAACACATAGATATATAGAGTATTGTATCACATCTCATTTGTTCTATTTTATTCATATTTTTACATTTGCATACTAATGTATGTCAACAGAAAATAAACAAATTGAGAAAAAAATCTTGCCAGCAGGAAACACAACCTATTTAAAAACATTTAAAAAAAAATGAGAACTGTTATTTCAGCAATTAGAAGTCATCCACAGGGAAACACTTAGCTGAAAAATAAGAAAGCCTGATAGCAGCAGCTTTTCCTTGCAGGAACCAAAGGATGACATGGTAGATAATGGCTAATTCATGTTTCATGATGATTAAGTAAAGCTATCATAATTGCTACATTTAATCATAAAACTCATTTGATGAACTTGAACTTTAGCAAATTAAATGAAACATTTCTTTTTAGAGATAAAATACATCTACTAATGATAATTTCCTGTAGTCTCAAGATCTACCCTTATTCTAGAATTAATGCTGATCAGTGTACTAACTACTAGCCACATTTGACTATTGTAAATAAATTTCTATTTAGAATAAAATACAATTAAAATTTCAGTTCCTCAGTCACAACAGGCACCCCTTTTTTGGTGGTACTAGGGACCGAGTCAAGGACCTGCCATTGAGCTACATGCCAAAGCTCTTTTAAAAACAATTTTTAAAAAAAAAAAAATTTGAGACAGAGTCTCACTAAGCCGCTCAGTTGTCCAGGCTGATCTTGAACTTGTGATCCTCCTGCCTCAGCCTTCCAGTGTGCTGAGATGACATAGCCACTTTTTAAGTGCTCAATATCCTCATGTGACTAATGGCTACTTACTGGACAATGAGTTTGAGAAAGCCTCTTCTGAAGCACTTCCACTGATCTGCCTCTCTCCCTGGTTCCCCACTCCCCATGGTAATACTTAGATAATAGAAAGGACACCAGTGCCTGGTTGGAGTAGGGTGAAGGAGAGGCAGAGCAGTGGGGGATGACATTGGAGAAGTAACAGGATTCATTATGACTCATACCTTTTGTAAATGTCGAACTTTTCAGGCTGTAACTCAGCCCAGATACTCTTATGTTCTTTTCCCCTCACCTCTTTGTGGTGAGTTCTTTGCTTAGATTTCCTGTACTTAGCAAGGCTTCCCCTGATCACACTTTATTTAAAATTGGCAACTTCTCCCTACCAGCGGTTGTCTGTCAGTGGTTGTCTACCAGTAGTTGTCATTTTCTTCCAGAGTGCTGATCACCATTGGACATGCTATGTTATGTGTTTCACCTCTTTATTGACTGTTTCCTGTCAATAGAATATTGGCTGTATGGATTGTTATCTGTTTTTGCTCCCAGCTATATTCCCAGAGCAAAGAACAGTAGTGCCTACTACACAACCGACCTTCAATAACTATTTGTTGAATGAACAAGTGAATCTACTTATTCAAAAAAAGTAACACGAAATGGCCAGCTTCTTTCTAAGAAAATGTTAAAAAAAAATAGTGGCATATACACTAGTTGTTTGTATATCTGAATTTTAATACAGACAAGAGAAGCATATATTGGATTCACTTTTGATAGCTCCTTTATATATATATATGCAATATGTACAGTCTGTGTATTTGACTCATTTTTTTATTAGTAACAGATTTTGCAAAACTATTTTTGTGGCTCAGCCATTATTTCTGGCTCTTAAAATAATTCAGGAAGTGTAGTTCTTCTTTTCACATAACTAACAGACTTTTTATGTTTTTGGAGATAAGTTCTTGTTATATAGTGCAAGGTGGCCTTGACCTCACTGTGTAGTCTAGGCTGGCCTCCAATTTGCACCAATCCTCCTGCCTTACCCTCTTGAATACTGAGATATAGGTATATGGCATGACACCCAGCCAAACTCATTCTTTGGTCTTATTTTATTCCAAGTAGTATTGGTATTCTTTAAAAGCTATTAAGAATCTATAGTAGTTCAGTGGAAGTACTTGCCTAGCTTGAGTGAGGCCCTGGCTTCCATCCCCCACACAACAAAAATAGAATTCTTATCACACAGAAGTTGTTTCTTCGGACAAAGTACTGCAGGTGGTGATGTTGCGGTGTTCCTTGCTAGGGGCATCATGACAAAGCACTGCAGCTGGGCAGCTCAAAGAGCAGAATTTTACTGTCTCTTGTTCTGGAGGCTAAAATCCAAGAGCAAGGTGCTGGCAGGGCTGCTTTCCCTGGGCCTCTCTTTTTGCTTTGCAGGTGGCTGCCTGCAAGTGGCTTCTTGTCCCTGTGTGTGCGGGTCTAGGCTCTAACTTCCTCTTCCTTTTTCTGAAAAATCTTTTTGCAATGATGGGGCCTAGCATGCTATGTGATTGCTCCACCACTGACTAAACTGCAACCCACCTCCTGGTATAATGCCTCCAGAAAGCTTACATTAAAGCTCACCTACTAGCCAGGCCTAGTGGTACATGCCTATGATCCCAGTACTTGGGAGGCTGAGTCAGGAGTATCTCTGTGAGTTCAAGGCCAGCCTGCCAAGACCATGTCTCAAAAAACCAAAAGAACACCCCCCAAAAATTAATCAATAAAATTTAAAAAAGAATCTATAGTATATTACACTCTTTGCTAAAAGAACATGCTGCATTTACTTGTATTGCAGTCACTTGGTAGGTTAAATTTTTGTCAGGACAATGAGGACCTATCATGTTCACCAAGTGTTTTCTTACTTTGACATAGGTGATTGGAGGGAATAATATTTGAGTTTTGGTTTAGCAGTAGGCACTTCCAACAACTTGATCCACTCTCCAACTCAGCCTCCTACTGATGCTTTGGCCTTCAACCTCTGCCAAAGCTCTAGGGCTCTCCCTTTGTGGAAATCACCGCACACTACAGTGCCTTACCAGAGGAGCCTCCAGCCTGCTAGATGCTGCAGGGTCATTTCTATAGTTCAGCAGCTGGCCAATGTCCACTCTTCAGCTGTGTCAAAGAATGGACCAGAGAAAGTTGTTGCAAGGGTTATATAGTAATCACATCAGAGATAGATTCTCATCAGATCAGGCCCCTAGTGAAGGAGAACAGCTATGAAGGAAAGAGAATTCAGGGATAGTTACTAGTGGTAGTTTATGTCTATCACACCGCAAATGTCTAAGTATCTTCAATTGCTGCTAGATAACCCATGTTAAAATATTGCCTTTCCCCTTTTACACCTTCTTCTTTATTAATGTATGTATATACAAAGATACAGATTAAAAAATTTAGTTTGTTTTCATATAGGGGAAATTTGCAATGAGCATTTTTCATTGGAAACATAGACTACCTTGTAAATTAATATAGTTCTTTTTTGGGGGGGGGTACAAGGTGAATATAGTTCTAATTCTTTGCTTTTAAACATTCATTGCTTTTAACTTTCATTTATTTAAACGAAACTATATAATTTTACATGTAATACATATATATTTTCCCACGAATTTTTAATTATTATTT